TCTTCTTACTTTTTTTTTATACAGATACTTTTATTTTGTAGAAATTTAATTTAATTATATTTAAATATTTTATTGTAATTTTTAAATTAAAAATAATTTTTGAAAAATCATATTTAAATTATTTTATACCATTATAAAATATAATTTTTTTAATATCAATTTATTCGGTAATCCCTTTCTAAAAGGCGTATTTTTTTTTTTGCATTAATATTAAATTTTTAATTAATCTTATTTATTATTAAAAAAATAAATTAGCAAATAATTTTATATATTTATATATATAATTTTGTTTCAATTGCTCAGGTTATTTGGTGTCACTGTCCAAGTCCATTCAAATTTATTTGAATTTTTGAATTTTACATAAGTTTTCACTGAATTCAAAAATTATGTTGCACAATTTTTAAAAATTTATAGACTTGACTTGAGTTGCTTGGATTCAATTAGCCCAAATTTACAACTTTAGCAAGAGAGTTGAAAGTTTACATTATTGAAGTTGTGACAAATTAAAAACTGATACATAAATATTAATATTAAATTTTTAATTAATCTTATTTATTATTAAAAAAATAAATTAGCAAATAATTTTATATATTTATATATATAATTTTGTTTCAATTGCTCAAGTTATTTGGTGTCACTGTCCAAGTCCATTCAAATTTATTTGAATTTTTGAATTTTACATAAATTTTCACTGAATTAAAAATTATGTTGCACAATTTTTAAAAATTTATAGGCTTGACTTGAGTTGCTTGGATTCAACTAGCCCAAATTTACAACTTTAACAAGAGAGTTGAAAGTTTACATTATTGAAGTTGTGACAAATTAAAAACTGATACATAAATTGTGATAAAATTGTAAAACTTAAATTGTAAGTTTCAATATTTTTTTATTTTGATAATCTACCTTCAAAAATCTAACTATTTATATTATTTCATATAAACATATTTTATTAATTTTTTCATATCCCGTACATAGTAAGGTTTTCATTAGTGTATATATATCTATTAATAAAATGATTTGAGTTACTTGTGAGAAGCTATACCCTGATCAAATTTAATTTAGATTGATAATTTTGTCATTCATATTGAAGAGATCTTTGATGTCTTAACCAATGGTAATTCGAAATCAGTTATAAAATAAAAACAAAATGAGGAAAGTTAAGAACATTCACTTACACTTATATTTATTTGGAAGTGTAAGTGAATTTGTTCCTAGAATAGTGTTTTTTTGGGGGGGTAGTCCCTAGCATAATTGAAATCAAGTTTAAAATTCATTCCAATTTCAAAATTTTTTTTTTTTGGGGGTAATGATCCAATTTGAATACTTGCAAACATAAGTTTTGTATGAATTCACATAGTAAATATTGTGATTGGTTATGGTTCTTTTATTTTAAATAAAAATGTCATTATTAAAAGGTTTAAATTAATTTTTTAGGTTGAAAGATCCGATTCAACGTTTGTTAAAAGGTTCATGTTTATTTAAAATTAAATTTTATTAATATCTCAAATTCAAATAATTATTAAAAAGGTGTAATTTATTTAGTGATTTTATAATAATATAAAAATAATAGTTTATATATGTTAAGTTGCCGAGTTCCACATTTTAATGTGTTTAGAAATCACATGTATACTTTTACTGTACAAATCCTCTCAAACTTGGTAGGATTGCAAGCAAGTAATCATTTATTTAAGTTTGACTTTAAAATTTAAGGAAAAAATATAAATAAATCCTTAAAATTTACTTAAAATATGATTTGTCTTATGGGATTTCCGAAATTACAAATACCCTGTGTTATAATTATTTATTTAACAAAATTAATAAAAAAATAATAAAATTTCTAACTACTTTTCTATACAAGAATAAAGTTATTTGAATCGTTAATCGAAATATATTTGTGGAATAATTAAAAATTGTTAATTGATTTTATGGTTTATTAATAAAATAAGTTATTTGTTATGTGATTATAAACTACATCGAATAATTCGTATTTTAAGGCAGAAGATATAATTGTAATATATCCAAAATTTAATGATAGCTGACAAACAAATTATTTAAGTTTGAGTAAGAGCTTAACGAGTTTTAAAATATGTATTTGAATCTGACTTATTTACTTAACAAGATAATGTCAAACAGTCATGCTTCCGACCCCCAGTGGGGTGACCCCCACTGACAACCTCCAGTGACGTGTCAGCCTATCATTGATTAAAAACAAAAAAAGAAAAAAAAAAGTTTTTTCGCCCAATCACAGCCAACCATCAGCACCCCCACTAGGAAATATATTTGTGGAATAATTAAAAATTGTTAATTGATTTGATGGTTTATTAATAAAATAAGTCATTTGTTATGTGATTATAAACTACATAGGATAATCCGTATTTTAAGGCAGAAGATATAATTATAATATACCCAAAATTTAATGATAGCTGACAAACAAATTGTTTAAGTTTGGGTAAGAACTTAACGAGTTTTAAAATATGTATTTGAATCTAACTTATTTACTTAACAAGATAATGTCAAACAGTCATGCTTCCGACCCCCAGTGGGGTGACTCCCACTGACAACCCCCAGTGACGTGTCAACCTATCATTGACTAAAAACCAAAAAAAAAAAAAAAAAAAAAAAGCAGTATAAAAAAAGTTTTTTCGTCCAATCACAGCCGACCATCAGCACCCCACCAGGGTCCGAAGCTTTATTCAATGTCAAACGAATTTTAATGAATTAAACACAATCAAACTGGAGTAACTTAATTAAGGCAATGCAATACGAATTATTTAATTAATAAGATCACAAATACAAAAATAATCACATAAAATAATAAAATAATATTAATCATACATATTACATGGTGACCGTCACTCATTATAGAAGATACATATATATTTTTTTATTTATATTAATTCACCTATATTTTATATGAATTGGTTCTATACCAACAATAATAATAATAGTAAGTGTGTTTAGTTTTAATTTTCTGAATTTAGTTTTTTAAAAATTAAGTTTTTTCATTTTTAATGATTTTTTATTTTTAGTGAATATTTTTAAAATTTTAAACAATTATTTATTTTTTTTTTTTGATGCATCTTACTTAGATGTATCTAAATAATAAAATATTTATGAAAAATATTTCAAAAAATTAATAAATACACAAAAATACAAAAAATATATTGAATTTTGTTTTTTTTTAAATATATTTTTGATATTTAGTGAATTTTTTAAAGATTTTTTTCACAAATATTATACTTTTTAACTGTATTTATGTCAGATGTGTCTAAAAATTAAAAGAATTGCTTAAAATATTTAAAAATTCATTGAAAATAAAATAAAATACGAAAAAAAAGTAAGGCTGTGTTTGGTAGGACTTTCAAAACTTAATTCCACATTTACATTCGAATAACAGGTTTGGTAAGAGTTTTCAAATCATGATTCAATTTCAAAACATATTTTGAAAACATGCTCGGTAAGAATTTTAAGTTTTGAATTTTGGGTGCACTCAGTCATTCGCCCGTTTGACAGGCTGGTTGACCGGAACAATATATAGATATATATATTTTTTGCAATAGCCAATCGCCACCTGTTATTTGGAAAAAAAAATTATATTTGTTTTTGACATTTTTTAAATATAAAATTTATTTTTTTAGACAAAAATGATAAATTATTTTTTTGAATTGAATTTTAAAAAGAGTTTGGTTATGAATTTTGAACAGAGTTTTGAGTTGTGTGTTTGATTATAAGTTATAAGTTTTTTAATTAAGTTTTGAAAACTAGTTTTAAAATTCATAACCAAACAAATTTTCTTATTTAATATGTCATTTCAAAAACTTCAAAACTTATAATCAAACAAATTTTCTCTTTTTAAATTATAATTTAAAAACTCACAAACTTAAAATACAATCAGTGTGTATGATTTGAATTTTCTGAATTAAGTTTTTGAAAACTGAGTTTTTTGTTTTTCGTATTTTTTTTATTTTTAGTGAATGTTTTTAAAATTTTAAGCATTTTTCTTACTTTTTTAAATGCACCTTATTTAGATGTATCTAAAAAATAAAAAATTTGTAAAAAAATTAACAAATACATAAAAATATGAAAATATACTAATTTTTTGTATTTTTTTTGTATTTTTGATATTTATTGAATTTTTAAAATATTTTTTTACAAAAATTATACTTTTTATGTGTATTTATGTTAAGTGTGTCTAAAAATTAAAAAAAAATGCCTAAAATATTAAAAAATTCAATAAAAATAAAAAAATACGAAAAACAAGAAAATAGGGCTCTGTTTGTTTGTGCTCTGAAAATAGTTTTCAACACTTAAGTTTGAGCATGATGTTTGGTAAGAGTTTTGGAATTAATTTTCCAAAACTCTGCTCTGTCTATATGTCAAAGCATTTTGTTTGTTGCAGAGGGGGCGTTTGAGGGAACAGGACGTCCGGCCGGCTGTCCCCAAAAGAGAGAATTTTTTTTTTTTTTTGCAATTGATTTATATAATCGGGAAAAATATTTTCTGAAAATTTTTAATTTTTTTTTATGTTTTAAAATAATTTTGAGTTGTATGTTTAGTTATGAGTTGTAAATTTTTGTATCACATATCAAATGTCACATCAACAATTTCCCACTCAAATCAAACCTCTTTTCCAAAACTATTTTCAAAACTCTTTACCAAACAAATTTTCTACACTAAAATCATAATTCTACAACACACAAACTCAAAATATAACTCATACTCTCAAATCACATTTACAAAAATACAACTAAACGCAGGTTAGAATTTTCTAAAAGTTGTTTTCAGAAAAACGAAAGTAAACAATTTTATTTTCAAATTATAATTTTAAAATTCTACTAAATATTATTTAAAAATTTTTAAAAATTAAAATCAAACAAGCCGAATAATAGTAGAAAAATTGTGAAGCCAATTTTGTTTTGTTTATTAATGTCAATAGTCCCATCCAAAAAAATTGTGGTTTCGTGGTCGACAAGGGAGGAAGGGACTGCCCTTTTTCCCATATGAGCAATCAAAAATGACCGACCTTCATAGAGCCTGACTCACCAAACCAAACCAAACCAAACTCCTTGCTTAATAATAGAATAATTTTGGGTAAAAGGCTAATCGGAAGGAAGAGGAAGTTTCCGAATCCAATCGTTCGCTAATATCTCTCTCTCTCTCTCTCTCTCTCTCTCTCTCTCAGAAATTCATATACATCTATCATCTATTCCCCCACCCAACCCCAGCCTGGTGTCCGTTCGTAAAACCTAATCAATATTTTCTTCTTCTTTTTTATTTATTTATTATTATTTATTTATAATAATCGTGTATTTGTGTAGCCGTGTAAAAACCCTAGATCGTGTCTCCGTCTCCTTCAACCTTGGGTCTGATTTTGATTCGATTGGTCTTTTGATCGTTTGGATTAGATAGAGAACAGACACAGACACAAACACAGACAGAGAGAGAGAGAGAGAGAGAGAGAGAATGGACGATAGCTGTGCGGTGTGCGCAGAGACCCTGGAATGGGTAGCCTATGGGGCGTGTGGTCACCGGGAGGTGTGCTCGACCTGCGTCGCTCGACTTCGCTTCATATGCAATGATCGTCGTTGCTGCATCTGCAAGACCGAATCCAACGTCGTCTTCGTCACCAAGGTTCCCCACCCTAGATTCTTTTTCATGATTTTTTTATTATTCACTCTTTTACTCTTTCCAATTTATACAACTTACTTCTTTTACAGCCCCTTTTCGAATTTCGGTATTAATAATTGGATTCTTGTGTTTGTTTAGTTTTTTTTCTTTTTCTTTTTTTGTATTGTATGTACGTACTACGGATAGGGATACGGAAATGTTCTTGTATTGTTATTAACCAATGAATTTGGCATGACTACTCTCGACCTTAGAGGTTGGTTACTAATATAATTTTAACATAATATCTATTATGTATTGTATAATTGTATTGTTATTATTCAAATTTACTTGTATTTTTTGAATCTCTTGATGTTAAATCTACAGCTACAAAGAATTAGTAAGATTGTTAGACAGGGCTACCTTAGAATTCAGGACACTTTGGTGGGGGGTTAATTTTAATTGAAAGACCAATTAGATTAGATTAGATTAGACTGAATGACTGGTCACAATGTGCAAGCAATTGAGTTTAGCATGTGATGTTTTGCAGGCCTTAGGAGATTATACAAGGATGATCAGTGATTTTGCAGTGTTACCATCTGAGTTAAGGGAAGGTCGAGTGGGATCATACTGGTACCATGAGGACATGCAAGCATTCTTTGATGATTTGGACCACTACAAGATGATCAAAGCAATGTGCAGGCTTTCCTGCAGTGTTTGTGACAAGATGGATGAACATTCAAATGATGCCTCCAAGAGACGTGGAAGGTTTAGGAACATCGACCAGTTGAAGGGCCATTTGTTCCACCAACATAACCTGCGTATGTGCAGCCTGTGCCTCCAAGGAAGGAAGGTGATGTCTCTATATTTGTATGATCCTTTACAATCTTCTTCTTTCTCGATCTATTTATCACCTTATTTGTTTGTTGGTTGGATTGAGTGTTGCATGCGTCAATTCAAACGTGACATCATTGGGTTTGCCTCAAATTTATCTGTGAATAATCGTCTTTCATAGACATGTTACACTTTTAAATTTTAGAGCACTTCCTTTGTCAGGAACACATCAGCTTGAGTTTAAAAGTATATTGCTTTAGGGGCCATGCACAGATGATTCCAAATTATTTATAATGTACTGCAACAGCATATTTTTGTACAGACTACACACACACACCTATTCACATAATGGCACACTGCATGTACAGATGTATTTGCATATGCATACATATGATGGTCAAGCATCAAACTTCAGATTCTTTAAACTATATTGATACGCTGATGTGGTAATTTTCAAAAAAATAAGACATAATAACTCAGTAACTTAAGAGATCTTTGAATGCCTCTCCCACACTCCACCACCACCTCAGTTTTTTCTCTCTCACCTTCCCCAATGAACTTGAATGATTTCTGCCCAAGTCATACCACACCTTGTTCTTCATCTGGCAACGTCACCATTCCATATCAATATAATCTCAAGAGCACTGAATCCAAGGGGGTTCTAACTGAATATAGAGATTGACAAAATCAAAGCACCATATTCAGATTTTACTGTGATTTTGAGACAATTCTCCACATTTGCTATACCTAGATTTTATAATGTCTCAATTCATACAAACCTGTTTGTAGTTCAGCCCTCGACACAACTTACCCTAATAATTCAAAGACCAGGTTACATATGCTGGAGTTGATCATATCAGGAACAAAATATAATTAGAGTATGCAATGTATTGGGGTTATCATTTGGGGGTTTTGACAAGGACGGACTGCAACTGATGGAAGATATTGACAAAGGTTGGAGTCACGAGGCTAACAATGGTAGGAAGAGTAAAGTAGGGGCTCAATTACCACTAGAAAGGAGAGGAAATTGAAGAGGTTGTAATGCTCAATCAATTACCGTTGTATGAGTGGTATTGATGATTTAGATATTGTGAGCTATTGAAGGTTTTTTTTTTTTCCCCCCCTTTGATTTTATTCTATTATTGGATCTCAAGTGATTTTCTTCAAATTTGTAATGTTTTTCATGGGTCTCTAAGTGTGATGGACATATTTCCCTCTAAGTGTTTGAAGCATGTTAGGTTAGCTATTGTGATCCGTTGAAGGGTTTTTTTCTTTTTTTTCTGTTCACTGTTTGTTTCCTTTGATTTTATCTCATTATTGGAACTTATCAGATAGTGTCATATTTTGCTTATTTTATGTTGTTATTATTAATATTATTTGACATGGTTAACTGACTGGACTAATTTAAAATGGATCAGGTATTTATCTGTGAACAAAAGCTATACACTAGAGCACAACTGAATCAGCATATAAACACTGGTGACTCGGAGGTGGATGGAACAGAGAGTGAAAGAGGTGGCTTCATGGGGCATCCTTTGTGTGAATTCTGCAGAACCCGCTTTTATGGGGATGATAATGAACTGTACTTGCATATGTCTACTGAACATTATACCTGTCATATATGCCAAAGGTGAGATATGCAGTTTCTTATTAGAACTACATCATCTTTGTTTCCCATTGAAAATAAGTAAAAGCTCACATCATCCTTCCACCGTTCTTTGCAGGCAGCATCATGGACAGTATGAGTACTATAAGAACTATGATGATTTGGAGGTATGATATTTATCAATATTTTAGCTGATTTGAGATCGAAGTTATCTGTATGAATAAATTCAGTTTCCTGTAACAGATCCACTTCCGCCGAGAGCATTTCTTATGTGAAGATGAGGCCTGCCTTGGCAAAAAATTTGTCGTCTTTCAGTCTGAAGCTGAAATAAAGGTGACTTCTCAGAGCCTATTTGATGAGTAGTGTGCAAAAATATGGTTATGAGGATTTCATTCACTTAATAAATTCTCTTTCAATTTCAGAGACATAATGCTATGGAACATGGAGGTCGTATGTCACGTTCTAAGCGAAATGCTGTTCTTCAGGCACGTTTATCATTCTAACTCTAGTGGTCTAGTCCTTGTAAAGACGTTCTATTTCTTTCCTAAAGCCCTCTTTTCATGTTGCTGCCTTTTTTATTTGCCTGGAAGCTGTCATCAATTTCTATCCCATATATTTTTGTATTTGTTGCTAGGCATTAACATGCTGTGCTAACCTTTTTTCTCTTCCATCCAGATACCAACCAGCTTCCGTTATCAATGAAGTAATGAACAAGATAACCGCCGTGGAAGGGGAAGGGGTCGGACATTTCATCGTGATTATTCTGAAGATCAACTTTCTATGGCCATCGAAGCCAGTTATGAGATGGCTAATGCAGATGGAACATTTCATGATCCGTCATCATTCAGAACACAAATAGTTTCCAATCATGGAGAGACGAGTGATATTGATCCAATTATTCAACCATTTGAATCGTTCGGTACAACAGATTCTGTGTAATAACCCGACCCTCGTACATGTTCTTTGTTATATTTTCGGATCCTATTTTGTGATTTTGAATGCTTACTGTGGAATCCTATGGGAAATTTAACTTAAGTAAGTAAACCATATGATTAAGGATACCTATCTGTTCAACAAGAAAAATATCTGTTACATGAGAACGCTTAGATCAGAAATTTGAAGCCTTAGAGGCTTAATTATCTGAAATTGATTTCACATATGTAATCAGCATAATTTCTAAGTCATATTGCGCGCTTTTGTGAAATTTCAATTTCGGATGTTTAAACGATTAAATTTTTGTCCTTAGTCAACCTATATATATATATACTTATAAAGCCCTCATGGAGGAAGACTTAACCATTTTTCCATAGCATTTTCTTGGGAGAAAAGGGAAAAGGGGATGAAAGCAAGGAGGGATTGAAATTGAAGCTAAGGTGAATTCAACTTCCCTAGTCTAATTCTCCTCCTCAATTTGAAGTAGTAAGCTTTGGCTATGGTGTGAGCTAAGTGTGATAAAAGTTTGGAGATGTGTATGTTGAAGACTTGATATGATAATCCTATTATTTGTGTATGTTGGACCAATTCAAGTTATTTGATTAAGACCATCCTCTTGCTCCTTATTTATCAATTGATATCCATGTTTATGCCATGTTTTGTATGTTATGTATGTGTGTATAAAGTTAGGAGCTTCAAGAATGATGATATGTGGATGAACTTCTAAGTTTGCTCCAAATCAATTGAGTTATATTCATGAGCCCAAGTCAAGTTAGATGAATTTTGGTGTATTGTATTTATAATTTATATGTTTTTAGCCTTGATTTAGCACCTAGAAGTTTCAATTTAGAGTCTTGAAAACACTTCTAAAAGAATGGAATTTTATAGCAAATTTCGGACTGGAAGTGCAGAATCGCCGCACGTGCGGGAAGTGCTGCCGCACGTGCAGGGGTTGTGGCCGCACGTGCGGGAGAAGGGCAATTTTGGGGCTTTTGTTCTGCCTAAAAGGCACGTGCGGGACCTCAGGGCCGCACGTGCGGGCCCAACTGCCGCACGTGCGGCACATGCTGAAAAATACTTTTTGCTCCGTTTTGCATGTAGAACCCTCTAATGTTGTCGGAATATGTATTTGATGCCTTTTAATATGTATAAATTCCTTCGAAGTAAAACAAAACAGAAAGTAATTTGATATGAAAAGGAAACTAAATTGTAAGGGTTGAATGCGTGCAGGGCACACTCCGAGAGGAACAAGCACATCATCGCAACACTATGAATTGTAGTACTTTGATGTACCTTTAACCGTTTATCGTTATTGATGTTAAATCTTCGTCGTAAGAATTATGTTGATATAAATGTTATGAATGCTATATGAGGAACATTGTGAAACTATGAAGCTAAGAGCCGGATTGTGAACCCATAAAACCCAAGAGCTAATTTATGTATATGTGAATTTATGAGGCCGAGGGCCGACTTGTGAATTTATGTGGCCAGGGGCCATTTGTGAACTATGAACCTATGAGGCCAAGGGCCAAACTTGTGAACTTGTGAATCCAAAGGGCCGAAGGCCGATGTGATAAGTTGTGAATCTATGAAACCTAAAGGCTATCGTGAATGTGTGAACCCCTCAGCCCAAGGGCCGAACTGTGGAATTGTGAAACCGATAAAGCCATCTGTAATCTAATGAAAATGTGCTTACTTTGTCCTGTTAACTTTACGTTAATTATGTCAACTTGTGGGAATGATGTAACAGTTACCATTAGGACTATGATAATTATAAGGCAAGGCAACTATGTTAACATATAAGAATGATTAAACAAAGGTGTATGCTATTGATAAGAGAGTACGTGAATTAAGTCATTTACCCAAAAGGATTTATGTTCATTCTTGAAGAATAGATTCAGAGTAAATATAAGAGTAGCTATGTGTATCCATTTGAATTTGAAGTTATTTTACTATGTTGCTTATGAATTGGAAGTTATTCAGAATCTACGATATAAGTGCAAAGTTTAGCATTATTATGTGACTCTCATGAGTATGTGAATTGGTCTCTTGTTGTTAAGCGTATGATAATGACATGATCCAACAAGAAATGCTCTAGTTATAATATGTTCCGTTTGAATTAATGAATAAAGTTCAAGTATGTTCAGGTATGTTCTAAGTAAATATTATAAGTTTAAGTCTGTCACAAGTTTATGTATGTACATGTTCAAGTATGCTACAAGTTCACAATGTTGGGGGATTCCTTTATGGAACGAACAAAAAGGAATACTTATTATTGATTTGCTAGCACTATTACGGTGCCAAGTATAAGCAAATATGAATTCTGCTTTCTATTTTTTTGAGTCAAGCATAATGCATATGTATGAATTTATTTCCGGGATATGACATTACATGTATGGTTTGGTCTGGAAGACCTAATGATTATTGGTATGGAACAAAGTGCTACTTGGAATTAAGTGCTACATTGTGAGCCACCGCTAGAGTCCATGTGAGACACCTCTTGAGTCCATACATATGTGAAAGTTATGAGGCTTATAGCCATTCCTATAAGTTGTTATGAAATGAAACAAAGTGCTACATGGAACTAAGTGCTACATTGTGAGTTTCCTCTTGAGTCCGTGTGAGACACCTCTTAGGTTCATATATGCATGTCCAAAGACTTCATGCCAACTTTTCAAGGGCCTTAGTGCCATATGTTACAAGGGCTTTATGCCATATGCTTCAAGGGCCTTAGTGCCATATGCTTCAAGGGCCTTAGTGCCACAAGTTTCAAGGGCTTATAGCCACCATGTTTCAAGGGCCTCATGCCACCATGTTTCAAGGGCTTATAGCCACCATGTTTATGTTGCAAGATTGAACTTAAGGCTGTTATGTACGTAACACAGAATCAGACTAACCATGTGAATTCTACATCTTTATATGCATCGCTATGTGTTATGTTTCAATTTAAGCATCGTTTTATTTATGTACTCCTATTCACTGAGCTTGGCTCACTCTGTCTAATGTCTGTTTCTGTAGGTAACCAACCAAGTGGTCAGTCCTAGTCGTGATACCCGTTTTCTTTTGTCAACCTTCGTGGGTTCAAGCGCTGCACGACGCCATTATTTTTGTAAAGTCTATCGAAATGTTGGTTAAATTTTGATTACCCATTTAAAGTTAAAGAGGTAGAACTTCAATGAGTTTTCTTTTATATATAAGTCCAATGATGGGGCTGGGTCTGTACATATGGTTGTTTATCACCGATGCTACAACATATGGTTTGGAGATTTATCTATTTTCCATGATGAATGTGATGTATAAGAGGTCCTGGCATGTAGATGTAGCTCAATGGAATTTATTTGTATGGTTATTTTCCTATTTTATGCTTCCGATGAGGCCCCATATATTATTTATTACAGGATAAGGGTTCGTTTTCAAACGGGTCATGCCCAACCTTTTAGGGGCGGGTTTGGGGCGTGACATTCTGAGCCATCAAGATACCTTCAAGCATTGTCACAGAACTCAAGGAATGCACCAATAGTAGAGTCTTCCTTTCCTCCCCTCCCAATGGCACCTGCTAGCAGTCAACAAAAACCCAAACATGAACCTGAATTTTTACCCAGGAATACTATGGCAACACATCTACGTCGCCAAACAAACAGAAATGTGACGCTCCCCAATTCAGCTCAGGCATGGCCAGCTGCAAGTCGTGCACCTGTGCTACCAGCAACTGATCCAATCCATACTTGGCCTACAGAAAGTGGGGCAGCTGGATTATCATCTAGTTCTGGTCATACCAAGGCAAAAACACACTATGGACCTGCACCTTTCAGTTATTCAAGTTTGGCGCAGGCTCAACCAGCAGCAGTTCATGAACCTTCACCCGCTGGTTTTTCGAGTTCAAGAAAAATGGGCAGTACTAGTAGGATCATCCATTCCACATCTGCCCCGAACGTTGCTGACAGTTCATCTTTTGACCTTTCTGATTCTAGTTTTCCTCCAGTTTCTGCAACACAGGAGCGCAAGTTGCCCACAAGTGGCCAGTCTAAGCTGAAGGTGGAAGATGTTCATACTACAAACAAGTCTTTGGTAGAAAGAATACGATCTGCTTTAGATTTTGATGAAGCGAAGTATAGTGCATTTAAGGATATATCAGGAGAATATCGACAGGGCTTGATGGATGCAGAGACTTATGTAGGTTACGTGAATCAGTTTGGCTTGTCACATCTTGTTATTGAGTTGGCTAGACTCTGTCCTGATGCTGAGAAGCAGAGAGCACTTGTTGAGACCTATGATGTAACTTTGCGAAACAATGGCCCACAAGAAAATGGTTGGAGCAAGGACAGCTCACGTATGAAAGATGGTAATGGTTCCAAGAAAGGTAAAGGGAAGTGCTTAGATGCTGAAGACAATAGTTCAAACAATAACTTAGTAGATAGCGTTATAGATACTTTACAGAAATTGCAGTCAAGTTACAAGCCTTCAGAAGAAGAGGTGGTGGAGGTATTGTCAAAGGATGGATACAGGGCTGCCAAAGGAAAATTGAAGGTAGAGGTCAATAAGCCACAGGCAGAAATGAGTTCACTTAGTCAACCTTCTGCAAAGCTGAAAGGTGAAAATGATTACGGCTCTGTTGGTGTTGGATCTAATCAAAATTTGGGGGATGCTGGTGGAAAAAGTAAGCAGCGGAAGAAAACCTCGAAGTTTCACAGGGTTCGCCTTGGTGATGGCTCAGTGGCGGCACTTTTGGATCTCAAATATTCAGATCCAGATCCGGATCCAGATGTAACGGAGGCAGCATCAGATGCATCCAAGAACCCCAGTGAAGGGCTGCCTGTGCGTGGTGTTTGGCAAAAAGGTGGAGGTCAGAGACTGTTGGCAATGACTGCTAGAGATTCCAAAAAGTAAATTCATTTTCATTATCAGTTGCAAAAACGTTACTGTGATGTGTGATTAAAGCTGGTGTTTTCCATGGTAACTTGCATGTTTTGCTCCCAGGGCTTTTTGGCATATTTCCAAGTTGAGATTGGCTTTATCCAATTTGTGTGCTCAATCGATGGATTTTTGTTGTGTCAGGACAGTGTTGCTGCGTTCAATGGGGCTAATGCGTTACTTCTACTAAATCATCCAGGGAATCATAGCTCTTTTCTTTTATTTTAGGAAGGAAAGGGACAAATTTTAATGTCCAGGGGTTCGGCGGTTATTTTTCTTTTATAATTTATGATTATACATGGGGCATCAATCCATTAGATTTCCAGTGTTTTGTTGTTTGTGTTAAAATGAAGCAGTGTTGGGAGTACATTTGGAAAGTGTCATCACTTACTGGTGGGTGTGTATGTATGGTGCAGAGACATTGTAATAATAGGTGTTCAATTTGATAAAACCTAATTATAAATAAGCATTGCTCAATCATATGGAATATGCACAAGCTACTCATCAATGCTCGCTTAGATTCAGATTGGATAGTATTTTCCTTCTTTTTTTTATATTTTATTTATAATAATTTCTCTCAATTTATTTTCCAAGCCCTAAATGCAAGACTGCTGGTGCATTTCAATGATTTTATGTAGCAACGTTGGGTTGGGTTTGTTCTTTATAGTCTGTTCGTGGGGCATTTGGTCCAACAGATACCCTTCAATCAGAGATACAAGATGCCAGAGGAGATATAATGCCAGGTTCACCCCATCAGAGTACTTGCAAGAATTTTCACTCAGGTCGGCAAAGAGGTCGTAAGAATTTTTTCTTAGAGCTCAGCAAAGAGTTGTAATTCATAATGGCAATGAAGATAATGGTATGGAGGGTTGTTACAATGTAAATTAGTGATGAACTTTACATACTTCAATAATTAAAATTATATACTTTTCCATGAGTTAGTAATTATTTTTGGAATAAAACAGTGACTTGTAAGTTCCCCTTTAAACAGGTACTGCCTTGTTATCAGAGTTTTATCAAGGAAAGTGCTTGATGTAACAGATATTGATTGTGTTTGTGTTGTGCTCAAGGCTGTGCCTTTTATGAAGAAACAGGGGTCGGCAAAATGTCCGTTTGGATGGGACCCTCACCGGCCAGTATGGCTTCTACAAGTTTGAATTCCCCTTGATTTTGGATGGAGGAGATTCTTCCTCTCATCCCTCTTGTAAACTAAAAAAATAGTCTCAATTAAAAATAATACTATTGTAATAAATTCAAGATCATTTCCAATCTGAAGAATTTACAGAACGAATCATAATGTGCGGCAGTTTAATACACATAAATACTGCATTATGTTTCAAGCATCAGAATAGGAGCAGATTGCCAGAATTTACAAAGAAGTGCAACCGCATGTCTGGGAATTATCACATCCAAAGGTTTTCTCACTGCTGTAGCACATATACAGGAACCCATCCTCCTCCTTTAAGGTTTTATAGACAGATTCCATCAGACTTGCTGCAGAGAACAGTAAAAAAAAAAAGTGAATAAAAAAAATTAGCATATGGTCCTGAGTCTCTTGACAAACCCTCAAAAAAATCCAAAGATATTTGGTGAATTTACATGTTTGAGGTAAAGTACTATTCACAAATACAAAGAGAGCTTTCCCAGGAGCCAGACAAAGCCTGTAGCTCAGGATGTGAATGAATTGCCCGACAGACATGTCTCGGGGTACCAGGTATCTATTTCAAACACAAAATAAGAAATACAAACATTAAAACTAAGTTGATTAATCTCCTTAAAAATCATAAACAAAAGTAAGATGACAATCACATAGGCGCAAGTTTGAGCTCAAAATATGTTCGTATGTATCATCCATTCCTCCATCGCTAGTTCACCACATAAAAACAATCACAGAGGAGCTCAATGAAACCTAATATTAGTTCAATTATTGGATACTCCACCACTCCACATAAATGTTTTAAAGATGACAAATGTGTTTCAAAGCAACCTTTTATTTCAAATAAGAATTCTTCAGCCATGCCAACCTAAATAGTATGTACCAGCAATGGTAGACCAGTCATTATTTAATGTTGTGATAAGGAGATCCACCTGTGCTTAAACACACGTGCACACACAGAGAGATGGAGATCATATGATTCACAAAGTGACCCTTGTTTCAGTAGATTGACAACAGCTAGTAAATCTCCTTACCATGTGACTAAAGGTTACTTCTGTCTTCCACTCTCATTGTTATATTTTTTCACTTCTTTTATTTGGATTTATTCTATATTTGCTAAACAACCAGAGTGGAGTTAATGTTAGACTAAAACCTTTTAAGCATTTTATATGACCCTTCTGGCACACTAAAATTTCCAATGCAACAACAGAACCAAGCCAATTTGGGTTTGGTTCCTGGTTGAACCAGACGGTCTATAAAGCATGAACACCTCTCTAAAGGGAGCGTATAGATGTCCGACACGTGTCAGACAAGGACACGCAGTGGACACGTGTTGGACACTCCACCTAGCGTGTCCCTTTTTTTTTTTGTTGATCTTTTGCAGTCTGTTTGACTCTCTCTTTCTGTGTCTGTTCGTCTCTCTCTCCCCTTCGCGTGTTTGACTCTCTCTCTCTCTCTCTGTTCTGTTGGTTTTTCTTTTCTTTTTTTTTCATCTCTCTCTCTAATTAATGAATCTTTTTTTTTATAGTACTTTTTTTTAGGGGGTAACAAAAACCTTTTTTTCCCCCTCTTTTCTTGTTTTCTATTTTTTTTGGATATTCTTGTTTACTAGACATTAACATACATAAAACAAAAGGGAAACACTATGGCACGCACCCTTCAAAGGGTGTGTACCATATGCACCTTATAACTAAACATTAACATACATAAAATAAAGGGAAACACTAGGTATCATAAGACAAAGGAAAGGTGTGCCTAAAATGATATTTGTAGCAAGATTTCTGACAAGTACAAATGAAGTTGGAAGACAGAGATCTTGGTTACAAATATAAGCTTCTGGGATTTTATACCTGATTTGGAGAGAATTACCACTGGCACTGGTGAGACTTTGGGTAGTCTTCTCAAAATATCTGGTTGGAACTATTCCTTCTTGAATACAATTCATATCTGCTCCGCTATCTACCAAAGCAATAGCATCTTTGATGATAAAGTCAGGTTTAATCATAAAAGAAATTTTTATATACCATTTCTGGAAGGTTACCTCATTAACAAGTAACAGATATGGAGTAGGAGATTCTGGTTCAGATTTTTGTTCACTTTTCTCAGTAACTTTGCCTGTCTGTTGTCGTAACTGATTGTGAAGATGCTTAATATCTTTAGTAGCAGCTTCGCTGGCAGTTTGTAAGTGTTTTACTTCTGTTTTTAGGACATTAATTTCCATCTTTAAATCCTGTAGTGTAGTTGGTTGTTCTACTACTGATTTGGTGTGGATTCTGTTAATCACGTGTTGGAGATTGTAAGAGTAATCTGGTATAGGAGGAGTGTCCTGTACCGTCTGTTGATGTTCATAACACATTTTTAAATATTTCAATTTCATTTCTGGATCTTGGATTTGATCTGCAACTGCAATCATATCCTTTTGTGTATCAGTTAGAACATTAATACTGCTTGGTTCACCTAGATGTAAACCATTCATTTCAACAATAGATTTCCAATAATTAATTTCTGATATATGTTCCTGGTTAGTTGTACAAGGACAAGATTCGTCTGGTTCATCTTCACTAGTGGAAGTAGAATATAACTGATTAATTTCATCTTCAAAAGGGGTTTCTTCATCTGTTGAATTTTCTTCAGCTTCAAGAGCTTGAATTATCTGTTCTTTAATGCCTGAATCAAGATTTAATTCATTAATCTTAGATTTAGCTTTTGATTTACAACGGTTTACATAATGGCCTATTTGGCCACATTTATAGCACTTTATTTCTGATTTATTTTTTCCTTTATTTTTACTGGTTGATTTTTTTAGATAAAACTTCTTAGAGGTTTGCGGATGGCTAGTCTTGAGTGACTTTTTTCTGAAAGGTTTGGAGGATTTCTTATGAGAAATTTTACGAGTTTTGCCCGGATATTTAATAACTGGTTCATAGGCAAATTGTTCACAAAATTCGCCTAATTCTTTTCTACCAGTAAGATTCTGTTGTTTCATTTGGTGATGTAATTTAAGGTCATTACACAAAGAAAGGCCTTCATCGGTTATAATGGAGCAAAGTTGTCCATAGGTATACTGTTCGTAAGGAATAGACATCCGGTCATGGCGGTCCCGAAGTTTTTTCCTAACGCGTTCGGCAAAAAGGGTAGGAAGGCCATCAATAAACTTGGCTTTCCAATGGGTACTGTTACCATCAGGTCGTTGCATAACCTTAATGAGGAAAACATCCTTATACCAACGGAAATGGGTAAGAGAAGGGCAGCGAAGATTCTGAAGTAATTCGCGGCCACGATCCTGAGAAGAAGTACTGGTGCCAACAAAGTGGAGTATGATTGTCTGGATGAGTGTATAAACAGCATCGGGCTGTTGGACAGGTTGATGAGTCGTGGGATCAACCTCAACTTTAACGGAATTAAGAATTTCTAACTGTTGGGTGAGAGTGAGGATATTATCCCACCAGCCTTTAAGTTGGCCGGTAAAACCATTAATAATAAATTTAGCAATGGCTTGATCCTGGTTACTATATTGTCGACAAACGGTTGCATACATCAACATCTCATGTAATTTCTTATAAATTCCATATTCGGATTCACCATCTATATTCCATTCATAGATGGTTTTGCCATGATAGCTTCCCTGATCATTGATGTAAGTCTTTTCATAGAGAACATCAGGCGGCGTAAGTGTAGCATAATAGTTCCTACTGGGTGGTAACATAGCAGGTCTAGAGAAACTATAGGAATGTAGTTTATTGATTGAAGCAGGTTCTTGGAAATTCATCTGAATTTCATTGATTTGTTCTGGTGATAAATTGTCGTCTGAGGTAGGCTCAGCACGAAGCATTTGAATAGAACCACCAGACGGTCCTGATGGGGGAATGGATGCTGGAGGGTGAACCTGTAAGGTTTGCATTTTCTGTAAGAGGGTGTCCATAAATTCTGTATTGGAAGCTTTTAACTTAAAGTTAGTAACCTTTAAAGGTGGTTTGATGGATACGGGATGTAAGGTGGAAGAACCTGTTACTAGTAAAGCTAAGCTCCTATCTTTGAAGGTAGAAATAGCTTCTTCAATTCTGGTTAATTGTTTACTCATAGTTTGACAGATTAAATTAGTATAATTATTTTTTTTAACTAATAATCCTTCGATTTTAGTAAATTTTCCTGATTGAGCATCGATATATGCTGTAGCCAATAAAGGTTGACGGGTAGTTTCACCATTCAGAGCTAACTCTAGAGCTTAAGGAGGCGGATGTAAAGCATTTATTGCTTGGCCTTCAGTTGTAGTCCAGGTCTTATATTGGTCTTCTATGACATTTAAT